CAGTTGTGCCGCTGCTGGCAACGCAGCTCGTCCAAATCACCAACTAAACTAGTGGGCGGATCGCTTTTGGGGCGGAGTGCTTTCGAAGTCCTGCTCAGCAACCAGCGCACCTTTCGTCGTGAAAGCGCCACACCTCGCTTCCTTGGCAGCCAAGTAACTGCTTCGTGTGGTGCATATGCTTCCCCGATGCGCTCCCTCTTTATCGTAATCGCTTCCTTTAACTGTGTATGCTAATTTATGGCACACTCCAAACAGCTTCCTATTCAATCAGCATGTTGAACTCGAGTGTTAATTAGTTGATATAAGAGAAATTTCACCTTTTCCATATTTCCTAGTATTCCTCTGACATCAGGAAGTGGATGGTACAACCATGGACACGTGCAGAGCCATCCGCTATACTAAAATAGGAACAACTGGAATTCTGAATTCCCGAATATGATATCCTTAAAATCCTTTGTCTCACATACTCTCTCAGTGCGACTAAAAATCTTCAGATTGGAGGCATCTAAGCCATCATACGTATACTTTTGGAGCAACTGATGATTGTCGACAAGCCAAATATGACCAGCGTATTCGTCGCTGTCCAGGTCCGCATAACGCACTAAGAATGTGCCTTTCTGAAAGATGACTTTCACTTCAAGAGAATCCTTCAGAAGCAAATTCACGCACCGGAAAAGCCATGTTCTTCTTTTTTTGTTTCAATAGCTCACCATGAGTCAGAGGAGGTGGTGGGCCGTCAGCCAGTACATTTGTATCTGCTACGCTTGGCTCGGCTCCCTCAGTTTCACTTGAAAGCTTCTTCCGTTTGTTTGTCTTGAAACAAAAACATGTTCACAAGGAGCAATATTCTTGCCAACTAGTACTTTTCTGTGAAATAAAACAACATTGAGGAAATTCTTGTCAAGCCTGTCTCGATATTATAACAGCCGCTGCTGTGGTTTGCGATTTTTAGATCGTTAGCCCCAAACTCGCGAGAAGATTCGTTTTGATCACTAAAATCGTAACGAGGCAAAACCACCAATCTTCTTTTCCGGATTGGAACACCTTCGGCATCTTCTCCTTCTCCTGTTATGTCGCTTGTTTTAACTTTCCTTGGTCTCTTGCGCCTCTTTATCAGTCCTCCCTCAACAGCTGTTTGCCCATCCATGGCATCCTCCACTTTAATAATACCTGTAAGCAATAGGATACTTTTAGGAGATCTCTACAATCTAAAGCTAAGGACAAAGTTGACTATGCCATTGTATTCCGCTGATACCGCTTGGTGAGTAGAGCGACACACTAATCTATACTTATCAACTACTAATGAAAAAAGATGCTAATACACACAGCTGTGGGCAACGGATTGAGTCGTCTTGCTGCACTTAGCATGGCTGCAGGTGAAGTAAGGATAGTGACAAGTTGATGCATGAGCGCGGCACTCTATGAAATCGAAGCGTATCAGTACACTCCACTGCTGCGAAAGAGGGGGGGGGGGAGGGGGCTGCGAGGAAATCAAGACTCATCCAGCTGGAACACCAAGCATTTGTACAATCAAAGCATATTTGAACGTCCATCGCCAAATCATGAGATCCTTAAGCCACAAGTTTCATTTACACTACGTGAAGGCACTAATAAAACTGTGAAAACGTTCTTATCTACAATCGATACGTATAGTGCTGTGCGGCCATCGGACTACTGACTATGAAGGTGCCCTAACAAATCGCTCGCAAACTTCTGGCAGCGGTCTGCACCCGTTTGCGACTGAGTTTGCCTCAAAATAACAACTGTAACAACAACTTACCTTGGAAATCCATGTTGTTGTTGTAATCAGAAGCATGCATGGGGTATTCAAAGGGAGTTTGAGAATATGCGAGCTGAGCGGGATGCATTGGTACCTGAGAGAATCGCAGATCGCGATCGGAAATACGAATTACTGAATGATTAACAACTTAGAGAAAGATGTAAGCAAATATTACATTGAAATATACATTATATACATAAAAACACTTTGAATACCTACCCCGTTGTGCTGATGAACTGGAAACGAATTCACAGCAAGTGGAGGTATCTTAAAAATGATTATAATAGTAGAAAACGGTTGCTATAAACAAACCTTGGGTCTAATCAAGGGGGAGGGGGAATGTGGTGCGACAATGTCTGTCGCCTACGGTGATCCCAATTTTTCCAGAGTGTGGAACTCTTCGTGGATGCGCAACCATTTCACTCCCGCTTTTCCACCCTTTCCAGAGCTTCCTTCCTTTATAAGAATTGAGATTACTGTAGGCGGCACGGACTATCGCACCACATGCCTCTTTCCCTTTACCGCAACAGACCTCAAAACTCACCTCAGACTGGTATTGACCATAGGAAGGAAGCTCCCTATCGTAGCGCATGTACATTTCGCCACCACTGTATTGCATACTAGGCCTAACATTTACTTGCGTTGAACCATATTGAAACTGCGGTTGAACTCCTGCAGGGAACCGTGGTCTTATCAAAATAGGAACTCTCTGAGAGCCCGCAGCTGTTGTCACATTTCGTTGAACTCTTTGTTGTTGCATCACGGACTGGATCATGGGGTATGGTATATTCGTTGGATGAGTAGCGACACCCGTTTGTTGCTGACTGGAAACTCGGGGATAATAGTGAATTCCAGGTTGAGCAGAAGTGGTGGCAAAATGTGGAGGCATAGTTCCTTCTCGCCGTATCAAGTAATCCCTCTGCTGCTGTGTCATGGCTGCCGATTGTGGGTAGTATTGTTGCCGTTGCATCTGTTGCTGATACTGAAAACAGGGCTATGAATCAGATGTAAGGCATGGTTTATCAGTACAGTTCTTCACACACCCAGATGTAGACAACACATTACGATTTTAATCACGGGGGGATGGAACCTTCCAAGTACCAATAGCATATGGCTTCCCGGAAGCTATCCTTACCCATCTTCTGGCGAAGCGGTATGGGGCGTCGCAGGAATCGTCGCCAAACAATGAGAACATATTAATGTGCTATTTCAAGTCAGCGGTCCTTCCTCCAAGAGAAAAAAAAACGAAAAATCGAGTTTGTTTATTCTAGTGTATTATTCCCATTATATTCAGCGAGTTTCAACTTTTACATACCCTAATACTTCACAAATAGGCTTTTTCTTGAGGCAACTTTGATTGAGAAAAAAGATTTCATCCCTTCCCCGGGTGAAGATGATAAACGTGCCCTAGGAGGGGATCCGGGTACTGGAAAGGGCAGCATATGGCTTTGGTTAAAATGGCTTATGCTGTGGAGCTATACTAGTCTCAGTTCTTCTTGTGGTGACCACACACAGAACTCGTTTGTGAAAACTTACATTGACCCAGATGCACCCAGCGCCGCTGATAATGCGTTGCGCACTTGACACTTCCTTATCTTGGCGAGAAAATGGTACATTTCAACGTGACCATGGCTTTCACCAATGGCTACAAATGCCTTATCGTAGGCGAGAATGAAAACAGACTGAATCCCGACAGCGTATGACGACGTTTGCGCAAAGTGTCAGACTTCGCGATTTTAGCTACTTAGCGTTATGGATTTTGTCGAATCGCGCGACTCGCTAAAATTGCAAAGTACGACATCTTCCTGCCTCACGTCAGAGCGCGTTGCACAATTTTGTCAATGCAAACTGCAGCAAATTAGAGCGAATAGTAGACTAACTACACCCATCCGAGCACCAATTGAAGAGGGAAAATAATGAATAAGAAAAACGACATCCAAAACCACATCACCTGTCGCTGAGCCTGAGTCGTAACGAACTCTCTTTTCGGGATGTGCTGCAGAGATGTTGCTGCAGACGCTTGTTTGACAATGTTACATTGTACGAATCTTCACTGGCTTCCTCCTGTGAATATGTATCAATTTCAAGGTGTCTTTGGCGCTTTCACAAGATACGGGCATATTCTAGGACTAAGCATAGAAAGGGACAAGAACTTCGTGGAAAATGGAAGATCGCTCACGCAGCCTGGAGTCACTTGACTCTGTTCACAAAGACGATGTTTTCAAAAAGGTTTTAAACGCTATCGCTCGCACTAATGCCGGCCCCTACCCTGCCATAGCGCCGTGCCTTTAACGGTTGCCAAATACCAAAGAAGAAGGAGACTAGATGCTCACCTTCGCAACAACATACTGTGCAGACGTTGAGGTGCTGGCACTAGCACTTCCAGCAGCACTAGCACTAGATTCATAGAAAAATGAAGCTGTTTGTGGATTGAAGTCGGTGTTTGTTGACAAATAGCCTGGTGTGTAGTCCTCGTTTTTGATAGCCGCAACTTCTGCGCTATCTTCAGACATTCTGAAGAGGAAAACAACATTACAATCGGAAGAGATGAATGACGAAAGCTCAAAACAGGCAATGAAAAACACCACAGATTATCACCGGATAAGTCGTTTGATATCAAAAACACACCTTAACATGTTAGGCCCTCCCGTCGGCAAGTCGTAATCGATATACACTCTTTGCATTGTTCAGCATACGCGTCACTAATCATGTGCTGTTTTAAAAACGTACCCAACCATAAATGGTTCAATGACACGGAAATCCAGCAAACTTTTCACCGTCACATTTCCTTGTATAACCAGCAGCAGTTGTCAGGGCGGTATTTGCTCAATCCTTCCCCCAGGGGGATATATCCCCCTACTCTGATTCAATCCTCTGGGGGGACAAAAAAGGGTTGCGTCATAGGACCTCGCATACCTCTGTGTTTCTACCTGCCAGACAGTTAGAGCGGCGCGACCCCTCAGGGGAAAGAGTGCTTCATCGGTGAGAGGTAGTAGCGCGCTGCTCTAACTGTCTGGCCGGTAGAAACACAGAGGTATGCTAGGTCCTATGACGCAACCCTTTTTTGTCCCCCCAGAGGATTGAGAGGATTGAATCAGAGGAGGGGGATATATCCCCCTGGGGGAAGGATTGAATACCGCCCCAGGAAATACGGCCCGCCATTCACGGACTACTTGAACTTTTCTCAGTGGTCCTGCCACGAATGGTTAGAGCACAGACGATTAGAGAACGGAGCGCTGGGCTCGACTGTAAATTCCAACGAGAAAGGTAAGAGCCGTAAGACTAAGCCTTGGAGGGGAGAGGGAACTCCGGGTGGGTGAGCCAATTACAGTGTTGCAAAAGTTCAAACGTGTGAGATCTCAGCTATCCATGGACGTCCCGCTATTTAGGCGAGAAGAGCGCAGAAGAAGCGTCAGTATTGCAGCCCTATTTAATGGACCGAGTCCGAGAAGGCCGGCACGCATAGTCGGTCGGACGACAGCAACGACTCGCAAGTGTCGCACAGCATTGGATGCGTATCGATCGTCGGACTTGCCTGAGTATTCGACGATTAGATGCAGTCAGACAGTCAGACAGTTGCGATCGTTGCTGTCGGACGACCGACTATGCGTGCGCCCTTTTTGGCGGACGCCG